AGGATTTGGTTGCCAGTTCCAATATCCATAATGTGTCCCCTGCGTTTTCTAAGGTTCTTTAGTATGAGGTTTAGGTCTTTGATCCATTTAGAGTTGTTTTTTGTGTATGGTGATAGGTAGTGGTCCTGTCTCAATTGTCTGTATGTGATCAGACAGTTTTCCCAGCACCATTTACTGAATAGGTTCTCCTCTCCCCAGTGGTTATTGTTGGAGGCTTTGTCAAAGATGAGTTGGCTGAGAAATTGAGGTTTTGCTTCCAGAATCTCTATCCTGTCCATTGGTCCATATGCCTATTTTTGTACCAATAACTGTCTGTTTTGATTATTGTATCCTTATAGTAAAGTTTGGTCTGGAATTGTGATAACTCCCACTTTGTTTATTTTGCTAAAGATTGTTTTGGCTATTCGTGGTCGTTTATGTTTATATTTCTGTATTGTCATTTCCAGGTCTGAGAAGAATGATGTTAGAAATTTAATGGGTATTGCATTGAATCTGTAGATTGCCTTTGGTAGGATGGACATCTTAACAATGTTGATTCTTCCTATCCATGAGCCTGGAATGTTTTCCCATTTGTTTGTGTCTTCTTGGATTTCTTTTGAGTAGTGTTTTGTAGTTTTCATTGTAAATGCCTTTCACTTCTCTGGTTAGGAAAATGCTGAGGTATTTCATTTTTTTTTTTTTTTTTTGTGGCTATTGGGAATGAGATTGTGCTTTTTATTTGGTTCCCTGCCTGCTTGCTGTTAGTGTATAAGAATGAAATTGTCTTTTGCACATTTATTTTGTACCTTGAGATTTTGCCAAAGTCTTTTATCAGTGAAAGCAGGTTCTTACAGATTCTCTTGAGTTTTTGAGGTATAGGATCATATTGTCTGCAAGGAGGGATAACTTAACTTCCTCTTTTTCTATTTGAGTGCCCCTGATTTCCTTCTCTTATCTAATTACTCTAGCTAAGACTTCCAACACAATGTTAAACAAAAGGACCGAGAGTGGGCAACCTTTTTTTGATCTGGTTTTCAGGGGAAATGTTTCCAGTTTCTGTCCATTTAGCAATATGCTGGCTATAGGTTTATTGTAGATGGTGCTTACTATTTTGAGGTATGTTCCTCTTATGTCTAGGTGTTTGAGGATTTTTTTTGAAATCAAGAATGGATGCTGGATTTTATCAAAAGACTTTTCTGCATCTAATCATATAATCATTTGGTTCTTGTTTTTACATCTGTTGGTGTATTTGATTACATTTGTGATCTTGCAGATGTTGAACCAGTCCTGCATCCTGGGGATGAAGTGTACCTGGTTATGGTGGATGATTTTTGAAATGTGTTGCTAGAATCTTGTTGTTGAGAATTTTAGTATCTATATTCATTAGGGTTATTGGCCTGCAGTTCTCTTTTTTTGTTGAATCTTTATCTGTTTTGGTTATCAGTGTGATGTTACCTTTGTAAAATGATTTGAGGAGGAGTTCTGTCTTTCTCAATTGCCTGAAGTGCTTTCAATAGGATTGGTATCAGCTCCTCCTTATATGTTTTGTAAAAACCTGGTCCGGGTTTTTATTTTTTGTAGGTAGTTTTCTTATGATGGAGTCAATATCCTGGGATGTTAGTTGTCTATTTAGTGTCTTAATGTCTTCTTGTTTCAACCTGGGAAGGTTTGTGATATCAGAAAGTCCTCCATTTAATTTAGGTTATTGAGTTTGTTTCCATGCATGTGTGCATAGTAATTGCTGATATTTTTTTGTATTTCTTTGGGGTCAGTTGTGATTTGATCTTTTGCATTTCTGATTGTGTTTATTTGGGCTTTTTTACTTTTTAAAAATAAGTTCAGAATTTCTTATTATGCTTAGACCTTTCTTATTGTAGAATTGTAAGATTTTTCTCATGTGTTCTTTTAAAGACACTCTTATTTTAACCATTTAGTATTTAGCGTCTCTGCATATCTTTCTATCCTCACTAGTTTGCCCTTGCTCACTGGTTCTTGACTTGGAAGTTAAAGGGTATGTGAGAGATTGTTCACTGAATTCTTCATTTTGCAAATGAGGAAACTAGGGTTATTATGTGCTTGTGGCAGCGCTGAGACTAGAACCTAGTGTTTCTTATTTTTAAATTCCTGCTTATTTCCATTTCTAATTTGGGTAAATAGGCATTGTATTGAAGTCTGTTCTTTTAACATTTGGGTGTCTGTTGTGTACCACCAGAATACTAGGCACTAATGATAAAAGTTATGAACAAAGTGGGGATAGCTCCCAGCATCCTGGAATTTATAGATTGGTGAATAAGGCAGGCAATAAAATGTAGGTAAATGTATAATTATTTGTGGTAAGAGCTGTGAAGGAAATGAAATCATTGGGCTGGTGTAGAATAATGGGACTTAGAGACTACTTAGGGTGGTCAGAGCATGTCTCCTATGGAACTGATATTTAAAGTGAGACTTGGAAAGAAGCCAGGGAAGGATTTAGGGAAAGCCTGTGCCAGGTGGGGAGAACAGCTTTCATTAAAGCTCTGAGGTGGGAAAGAGCTTGGCAAGAGGGCTGTAACTGATGAAAATGTGAGCAGATATAAAGTTTCACCATGAAGGTGTCAGTTGTCAAGTTGCTGGTTAACTTTTACTATCAGTGTTTTTGCATACTTTTCAGACAACTCCATTGGCACTTGCTTTGTAAAAATCTGGACTGCTTATTTCTTTCCAAAACCACATCAGTGACTGGAAAAATCCAATGATAAAATCTTTATTTTTCATATTATTTTATGAAATCTTATAATGAAAACATGTCTTTGTTTGGGTCAAAACACATGCTGAGTTTTCTAGAGTTATTGGTTATAACTAGAAGTAATAGTAGAAATAAATCCCCTTCAGATGGAATGTAGTCTATAGATCTGTTTATCCTATCAAACTGAAGTTAGAGGAAAATTCTCTTATCAGAGGAAAAATAATAATCATGCAAAATGTTTGCTGTGTTCTCTTAGCACGTTATTATTTTTTAGGGTAATTTTACTGGTTTGATGTAGCATCTGCGCATATGTCAATATTTTATTCTTATGTTATCATTTTGTGCCTATGTCTGCTTCCAAGTTTGATTGTCCACTTCCCAGTTTGATATTTTTTTTAGCTGTATGAAGATAGGGAACTTATTTCTTTTTAAAACATTATTCCCAGACAGGCGTGGTGGCGCAAGCCTATAATCCCAGCTCTTTGGGAGGCTGAGGTGAGAGGATTGCCTGTGCCCAGGGATTTGAGACTAGCCTGGGCAACTTGGTGAGACCTCATTTCTACAATAAATCAAGAAATTAGCCAAGTGTGGTAGTGTGTGCCTGTAGTTCTGGTTACTTGGAAGTCTGAGGCGGAAGGATCGCTGGAGCCTAGCAGGTGGATGCTGGGGTGGCCATGAGCGTGCCACTGGGCTCCAGCCTGGGTGATGAAGTGAGGCTCCAATTCAAAACAAACAAGCAAACGAAAAACATTATTCCCATTTTTAAAAATGGCTTTTCCAGAGTGTATGCTGTGTCTTATTAGGCTTTAGTAAAATCCATTAGACACATCTATGCTCAGTGATTTCTCTAGATTTTCTTTGTATACCTTTTACCTATTGGTAAATAGTCAAAATGAAGAAACCCATTGACGTGTGGTGGACCTTGCCCCATATATTTTCCACAATATATATTACAGAAATAAGGGAATGTCTGAATTCTACAAGGTATCGCTTTTAGGTAAGAGATGACTGAAAAATTCGGAACAGAAAAATATCTAGGTGTTGAATTATTAGGATTATGAAAATTGATAATAAAAATATTATAAATGTGTGATAAAATAAGAACAGTTTTTAACTTGCCTGCTGCATATGCATGTGTGCATGTGATATATATGTGCATGTGTGTATGGATATATATTTTTATATTTATGTATATTTTCCCTCTTTCCTTCCCAATACTGTGTTAGTATAGTACCACTTTATATCTTCTTGACATCTGTATTTGATGTATTTAAAAGATCCCAGTTTATTTTTTTTATGTTTAGAAGGGTTGAACTCATTAGATTGGAATTATTTTCTGCCCATTTTCTTTTCTTTTCTTTTTCTTTCTTTTTTTTTTTTTTTTTTGAGTTGAAGTCTCACTCTGTCGACCTGCTGGGCTCCAGCGATCCTTCTGCCTCAGCCTTCCAAGTAGGTGGAACTACAGGCGTGCACTACCACACCTGGCTAATTTTTTGATTTATTGTAGAGATGAGGTCTCACCAAGTTGCCCAGACAGGTCTCGAACCTGCGGGCTCAGGCAATCCACTCACCTCAGCCTCCCAAGGCGTGGGATTACAGGCTGAGCCACCAAGCCTGGCTTCTGCCCATTTTCTATGCTTTTTTTCTCTCTCAATTTCATTAGAGAATTTCAGGTGTATTATTTATATACTTTTACTAGACCAGGGCATGCTCAGCATTTATCAGACCCCTGGCATCAGTCGACTTTGCATGCAAAATAAATAGGGCATAGTGTATGATGATTTACTTTATTTTATTTTATTTATTTATTTATTTATTTATTTTTTTGAGTTGGAGTCTCACTCTGTCAC